ATATGAGAAGGAATAGAATAGATTGGCTTCAATTAAAGAAGTATGGGATTCTAAAATCAGCTTAGAAAATTAAAGTTCGCTTGACTTGGCATGAGAAAATTCACCGCCGTTCGAGTTCCAATCATTTCTTACCTCGACTGTTGAAAGCAGGGGTGGTGCAGTGGCAAGTGGCGCACTATCACACACGCATGGTCACGGGTTCGAATTCTGCATCGATATTCGCCGAGGTTAACCAAGCCTTTCATTCCTCCGCTGCAGCTTAACTGATGAAAGTCGAATCCGAGAGCGGATCCCTCAGAGGGAATTGTTTACGCCCAAGGTTTTATCCTTTATTTCTATGTTGAAAAGTAATGGAAGTTCTGACATCACTCCAATCAGCATCCACATCTTCTTACGATCGAACTTTCGACGCCTTTTCAACAATTCCTATCTTATCCTTCGCTATATTAATGTATGTACTCCTTTACTCAGTGACTACTCAATTGAACCGTCGCCTCAGTACCATCTGCCAGTTATCCCATAGCTTTGGGCGGCTTTAAAATCGTCTTATTGTCCTAGCTGGGGAATCGTTGCTCTCGATCCAGTAAGCACATAGACGATGGCCGGTTGCTCTTCTTTACGAGGCAGTTATCTCATCACTACTGACTGCTTATCTACCGTAGTCCATTCGTTTAGGTTTGGACAGTGGCCCTAAAAATGTCTATTTAATCGTTACTTCTCAGGCAGTAACTACAGTTATGGCTGGGCCAGGTGAAAACTCACTTTTGGCATTTTCAGTGGCGGTTTAGTAGCAGAACCTGCCCAGTAGTGGAATATAATTAGCCAATGTACTTGGTTTAAGTTTACCATGTGGGAATCCGGGGATCATGGAAGAGCTGGCCGATAGTACATGAGGTGTTAGTTGGATTGAACAGCCAGTACGAAGAAACCAGAGCAAAGCAGAGAATAATGAAGTAGCAGCAGTAGAAGGCATCGAAGCAGAAATATGTATATGACCGAGTTATTTCGTATGATACTGTAGTCGATCCCGTACGCAATCACACAACATTGTTTGAGAATTCTTTGCGGAAGGTAGAGTGCTTTGAGAATTGCTGTAATTGTTGTTTATTTATGTAAGAAGTGGTGGTTATTCTTTCATGCTTCCTTATTCCTCTCATATCTTTTCTTCAAGGATCTCTTGCTATTGTTTTTCAGAATGGATAGGCGGTTCAATGCCGATTACTATTCGTTCGTATCTCCAATTGTCGACCTACGGGAGTTTCTCGAAGAGGCGTACTCGAGTAAGCAAGCCATAAATGGTGCGTTCTCTGAGGAATACATCCTTGAAGAAGTTTAAGTAATGTGTATAGAACCCTATGTATGAACCAAGGAGGGTTCTTTTCGCAGTTTACAAATTTGTTTTCAAAAACGTCAATATCTTTTCATTTGGATGATAGAGATAAGGCTAACAATTCTTATCTAAAATTCACTTATTCATGCTTGGTACAATGATTGGGAGCGAATCGTATTCCCTAATCCCTTTCTATTTTAGACTTTTTCCTGTTATCCGCACATTCGTCGGATGCGTCACTGTCGAAGCCCTCAATGAAAACTGAAAATCGTGATTTTGACATGCAACGTGATTTCTGTGACATTGTCAGCTGCAAACCGTGGACGGCGAGTAAAATATTCGATGGAGACTTGCAGTATGTTCTACTTACCTTTACTGTTGGGGTTTTTTTTACCTTCACAGAAATGTAAAACCATTACATTGGAAACAAAGTAAAGTTGATAAGTAAGTAACCAAATGATAGATAGGGTACTATTCCACTACTACAACCCCAAAAACTCAAAATTTTAATTTTTGATGAAACTTCGTCTTCGGGGGAATCCGAGGCCCTGATAACGAATATGGCCTTCACTTTTGGCGCTGGCACCATTTGGCGCCAAAGGTGTTTTCACCAAATTTGCTGAAAACTTGCGTTTGGGGCTTATTTGAGGTCCTGATAACGAATATAACATCCATTTTACGCGCTGAGGCTATTTGGCGCGACGAAAAGGCATACAGGTTAAGGGGGAGACGATGTGGCTCAATAAAGTTTTTATTCGTTGTTTGAGGACACAGAAAATGGATGTTATATCCGTTATCAGGATCTCAAGTAACCCCTAAACGCAAGTTTTTAGCAAATTTGATGAAAACACCCTTGGCGCCAAATGGCGCCAGCGCTAAAAGTGAAGGTCATATTCGTTATCAGGGCATCGGCTATAGACGAAGTTTCATCGAACATTAAAATTTTGAGTTTTTGGGGTTGTAATAGTGGAATAGTACCATAAATAGTTATAGAAGTAGAGCAGTATACTAATAGCAAAGTTTTATAGTATCGGTCAGATCAATATTCAAATGTTAGGTATCTATTCAGTATGAATTTCTCCTTGTTGTTTGAATTTCCTGTAAACGTCGACCAACATGAAACGATGGAAATTGTTGCTCCCCTCCATGAATTTTACATTAAAAGGTCACATCAAAGCTCCACACAACGGAGTATGAATCAGGGTCAGAGCTGCCACGAAAAGAAGGTGGACGCAGCCAGTCACATCATGCCCGGGATAACACAGCTTTTGCTGCTTTTATATGTACCCGTTCGGCTGCGCACTCTAGCGCGTGCAATACGTCCGGACATACAGACATGTGATGGCCAATGTTTTGAAGCCGTATTGGTCAGAAAATCAATGCAACAGTAACAGTAGGCTCCCTACTTCATAACATGTTCCTCACCCTGTTAGAGTGCACCCACGCGACATTTCACAGTCCTCATCGTGCCTACGTGACTTTCTGCGAACAGACTCACAAACCGACATACAAACAGACACGCAAAGTTGGTGCTTCATATTTAGAGAGATAGTTCGCATACGGACAGACGGACTGAAAATTCGACGGATTTTATAAGAATTCTTATTCTACTCCCTCATGTTATATATTTTTGCTTTTCCGCATTACTCGTTTTGAATGAATAGCCGACAGCTTCCAGTGAATTTTCCCCGTACTGGTGACTTTTTTCAGGTTAAACAAGTTTCTGCCCGACCCAGATCAAAGGACTTTTGAAGATCTCAATGACATAAAAAACATACCTCCAACTCCAAGACTTAAGACAGCGCTGTTGGTTTGATGCTTTCATCTTTTTTTTTACATTTATCATCGATCTACCTTTTCCTTATAAAGAGCAAGAAGTGGAATTTTGGTTTCCTCGATCGTTTGTGAGTCTTCTTCTTCTTCTCACTGTTATTTCTGTTCAGGATAGCTTTGGAGAGAAACGAAATTGCAAAGAATCCTCAGCGAAAGTCCAACTACCTGCGTGACTTGAAATATGACAAGTTTGAAATGTGCGAGAAGGATGTTAGTAATTCGTTTGAGCTTTACCATTTCGTAAATGGTTTGAACTGATTTGGGCAGGGTCATCTTTCAAGCTTTATCTTGTAGCCCTGTAGGTGCATATGTAAAAGTCAAAATTGGCAATGAGACAATCAACTGTGAAAGTCAACAAATTACATGTAGTGGCCAGGGATTTTGAAGCCTCTGCTGTTCAGATTAGGCTTGGAGTGCGAGATGTGATAATATGTCAGTCTGAAAAAGTTTGGGTGCGTAATGATAGAAGAATCGAGGATCGCCCAAGAGCATTTTTATGAATTGTTTTGAAAATGTAATGGCTTTGTTTGATGCTTGGGCAATGTTTATGATTACATAATTAAATTCAGTTGAGAATTCTTCTGAAGTAGATTGGTTACTGGTCATGAAGGAGTTTAGTATTAGAAGCAATTTTCAGTTGCGAAGAGGTCATTCGTCTCCTATTTCTGCACCATGCGCGAAAGATATTGTGATCACGTGTACCGTTGTCGTCCCACACAACAAAATTTTATCGCAAGAGGAAACGAGGAGCACTAGACTGGTAAGTTACTGAAGTTAGCAGAAATTTTGATGACGAAGATGCGTAAATTTGGAGTCTCACGCAGAGGGAGACTGTGGAAGACCTTCAGAAAGTTGTTAGTGATCCAAACTATTTTCTAGGTTAGTTAGAGCACATATGGTTGTGAAACATAACTAGCAGACAAGCGACCTTTATTTTGGGGCACCAAAACCAGGAACGAAGTGACAAAAATACTGAAGAGGAAATTTTGTATTGAGAAGATGAGAATGTACTTTTGTCGTCACCCCTTCATTGTCATGTGATTTCAATGTTTTCTCTGAGTTGAGTGTAAAGTTGTGAATCATCTTACTTCGTGATAGAATGCACCTATGTCTGGTAGGTGAGGATGTCAACATTCTTTCTAGCATCTCTATCCGTTATTTTTTTGCGGATCTGTCAGGTTGCACTTGTTTAGCTGACAGCGGAGCGCAAACTTATGTTACGAGGTGACTCAACATTAATGAGCTTGAGGCAGAAAATTGTGAGTTATTATTGTTCTTCTGCTGTGATATTTTGAAAGTTTCAATATCTTTTCAGCTTTGTATATGCGATTCAGTGGCCGCTTTAGAAGACGGTCACGAGCTAGAACCGATCGATCAGTCAAAAGTAAGTACAAGATTCGTTTTCCTCAATTCTTTATAATGTTGTATTGTTTAGACTCACATGATTCTGTACCCGTCGTCTTTTATTTTTATTCATGACACTTTTTACGTAGATTATTCAATGCCGCACTCTCAAGATATTTCAACGTGAGTTTCGTTGTCGTTGTCTCGAGCCCTCGACTTAAAAGTGTTTAAACCTTAGAAAAAACTGTTTTCAAATAATGGTTCAATTATATGAAAAAACATCTCGAGCGGGCTTTTGAGCATTCACTTGAACTTTTCAAAAGGGTAGCTGAAGAAGAGGCACCAAATCGTAGCGAATTTAGTTGTTGTGTCTTTCGAATTGGCAGTGAGAGTTATTGATCTGAGATTAGGTTAGTGAAGCCTCACCATTGGGTCTCAGTTGAATTTGCCGTACACCTCTAGGTAACTCATTTTGCATGAGCTCCCCTACCATTGTAAATGTTTTTTCTGTTAGTGTGTGATGAATAATCATCATTAGTCTAAAAAGATCTTGCATACGGAATGTGAAAGTAAAAGGAATCGATATACTGACGACGTTTCGAAATTTTGCCACCTTGATGAGTTGACAATGTGAACATTGTTTTTTTGGACTGTCATAACCACATACTCGGTCGTCTAACGTGTTTTTTTCAGGCCAATTCGAGAATTTATGGCACGAAAGAAGTGTTTCGATCCTGTGACCTCAAAAGATATCGCAGGTGTCAGAATGATCGATCTCAAACTAAGGTGGTTCTTTCACCAGGCCTGCAAAAAAAAGACTTCGTACTTACAATGTTTTAGATTGGGCCAGCCTTATGTATTTCAACACTCTGGAACTTGTGAGCACTTACTGATTTTCCATGATCTGCGATTGCTTGAAAAAAGCGATGTGCAAGTGAGTCTTAAATTTTTATTGGCCTTTTTTGATCACAGTTTCCACTGTTGTCTCAAGGTGGACTGCATCCGAACGAAAAAAATATGGTTAGGGCCTATAGCTTACTCTTGATGCCAAGGAATATGAAAGCATTGCGAAAATTTTGTTAATTGAACACTCACTCGATCAGATTCTCGCTGAAGATCAAAAACTACACAGAAAAACCAGATAGTCGGTATAGCTTTCTCGGGCGTCTACTCAATTTTAGAGCATAACTCCCCATGCGTTAGTGTTAACAACACTTTTACTGCTGTACTTTTCTTATCCTATCATGACCTATCGTTTCAGCCCTTCAATCATCTATGAGTATTCGTCTTCTTTGCTCTCGAGTCTGCCCCCTTTCAGAGGCCTCAGTAAATGTCATGGCGATGTCCTTGACATGCTGCGAATAAAATCTCTTTGACGGGTATATACAGTGTATATGCAGCATACTGCAGTTCTACTGGGAGAACTTTAGCATGCAAATGCGACGTCCTCTAACATTGATCTTCATGAAATTCTGTTACTATGGAAGGAGTGAAAACTGATGAGGAAGACGTTTAAGTGCGGGCAAAGGACCTTGAAAATCGGGAGCAGACGTTTTCGCGCTGATTAGAAGGTTGGATTAAGGTGTTGCTATACCGAAAATTTAAAAAAAAATGTAAATGGTGTTCTGCAACAGAAGGTAGAGGTCAAATGAAGGGCACTAATACAGAAGGCATGAATTATAATGACGTTAATTAACCAAAATTCATTCGTGTCTTCTTCAAGGCGAGTATACAAAGAGGATTTTAGGAGACTTGATCGTTATAATTTCCGAATTAGTAACCTGTTTTTCTACAGATCTTTAAGATTTGTCATCGTGTTAGTATTCTCTCGTTACTCTTTAAGGATACGGAACGATATCCGATGGTGGTTTTCGAGAAGAAAGGAGATGTCCGGTGCGCCGCATGCAAGAGCTATGCAGCGTAAGTCTCATTGTTCCAGTTTGAGTTTCTCATTATTTTCAAGTCGTAATCTCTCCGATTTTTGAAAATTTCGACTGTTTCGAATGAATCCACAAATGATAAAGAAACTTTAATTATCCTCTGCTCAGTCAGATATGATTTCTACAGGTTCGTAGTGGAAGAGTGTGAACGACTACCATCACCCTACATGATGTTCTGCGAACCATGCTTTCGTGAATTTTTCTTCATGCATGGTCACAAGATCGGACGTTTCAAAGCTCACCCTTATATGCCGATTCATCGCTTCACAGTTCTCTGATGATCATGTTTTTATGCTTATATTTGTAGGCGTTTTTGGATGATTGTTACCGCGACGTTTTATCATGAAAAGTCAGTTGCCTAGGAATTTTCAACGGGTAGTAGAGATGGTAAATAGATTACATCATTATGTACACACTCTCCAGTCAATTTTTAAGAAGAACGAATCTCGTCAGATTTTGAGTTGCTTTATTGTTGTTGTTCTTATTAACCTTTTCCTCGTTTTGATCTCACAATCAGGAGTTTAATCGGAAATATTCTTCGCATTTTTTGTTGTTTCTAACATAGCACATGTGCCTGCGCAAGCTGTAAGTGTTGCTTAGGCTTTGACTCCCTCGCTCCAGTAAGTGCATTAGGCAAAATCGTCGATTAATGTGGAAAGCACCACCTCTTAAATTTATTCACTTATTCTCTTTCTTCACTCGTGGTTTTCCTTGTTGTTACCTTGTTCATGTTTTAATAGAATTATTTCTTATGAGATGTATTTTAATTATACATAAAGTTATTGATCTGGTCAACATTGTTGAAGCGTAAAGTGGTACCTGATGCCTTAACGTATTTAAATCCTATCTCTCATTCAGCTTCTCTTTAAGCAGTTCGAAGCAGCCCCACGTTTGCGATATGGCTTCTTGCTGAATCCCTTGAATGGTAGCAATGAAGGGGAAGTCGGCTAATAGTGCCCTCGTTCTTCCTTCCCTATAGCTCTCACAGTTTCAGTCGTCCTGAGTTCGTTTTTTTCTGCCAGAATATTTCAGTAGAGTTTTGTCGACCTGCTCGGGGCCATGGAGTCTTCTCGATTGATTTGGTTTTTATTGGGGTTTCGTGGAAAATCTGCAAGGCTTTCGAGGAATTCCGTATTAATACTGAAACTCTAGAACTATTCCAGGAGTATTGACACAACGCTTCGATAGATGTAATCTATACCACAAGTACTCCTACTGTTGATGTGAAGTTGTCCAAGAAGGTAATTATTTGCTGTTTAATCGGGAAATTTAGGCGACTGAATGAAATACAAAGCTCTGAGTATTTCTGTTGAAAAGCACAAGACGGGTCAAGGAGATGGGCATGGAATCTGTCTGAAATTAAGAAAAATGTACTATTTAATATCAAAATCAGGGGAGTTCTGCTTGATTTGTTAGGAGCAATGGCTGGGGTGTGAAGCTCAGCCTGCACCGCACTACTTGCACCATTGAGCGAAATGTGAATAAAATAGGGCTAAAGGGTTAGTACACCTGCAGAAGTGAAATGTCTTTGTAAGTTAACTTCCCCATCTCATGAAGTTTCTTCTACCCTCTCTGTGCCACTTTTCTAGAGCTTGTGGGAGAAGGATTCAAATTTTCAACTGAACCTCAAAAATTTTCAACGAAAGCAAAGTATGGTTCGCATGGTACTGTTCTTGAGGACAGGCAATGTGATGGTAATCCCGCGGGCATCTGCGCAGACGTGTCATGAATAGTATTTGAAACCCTATGCCACGTTCTACTACCGCATCGTGCATCGAACAACGTCATTGAATAGTTCGCATATTTCCATTCAGTTCAAAAGAACGGTATTCCACTCATTCTACCCTTTCGATATGTTTAATGCTGGTCAGCGCTTAATTCAGATGTATGTTTCGTGCATTCTTACTATTTTCAGTTGAATATCTATTGATGGCGTCACGATCACTACGATTCATAACTACGGTGCGTCCAATTTCATATTCGGCAACGGCTCGCAATGTTTATGACCCTCGTGTATTCCGTGAAGCCATAACGGATATCAAACAAGTCTGTTAAACTGATATTTCTTTTGCTTTTCGTTTTTATTAGTTTGATTGAAGTGTAAATGTAGCAGCCAACTTAGTTTGTGAACAGTAATTTTTTTGAAAGCAGCACTCTTGTATTTGCTTCCACCTTTTGTCCTATTTACTTTCTTTATTTTATTTTTCTTTTGTTTCGATGTTTTTTTTCTGATTTTTATGCGATTTTATGCAACTCTTCAGATGCACGAACCACTCGACGAAAACGATGAGCGTAATTTTCTCTACATTAAAGCCATGAAAAGTGATGAGACGCCAGTATTCTATAGAGATCATACGGTTAGCTTTCTGTTCATAGAAATGAATAAGCTAATAACTGTTCTGTTGAATATCTGTGTTTTCTTTCCGAAAAAAATTAGTTTATTACCATATCCCAATCAGTAAACGTCCAGTTTTTTTATAGCTATTGTGATTTTTTTTTCAAAAAAGTGGGATCTGTATCATTCCGAAATTTTCGATATTTTGATCAAATTTAATCTCCTTCTTCAATTTTTGATTAGGTATCATTGTTCAGGTAGATAAACTAATACGAGTCTGTATGAACAGTGGCAGGAAAGAGACAGCAAAACATCACGTATATAGCGCTTTGGAAATAATTAAGAGGCGGCAGTACAAGGCATGGTTAAATGCTAAAGATGAAGAGGAAAAGGTATTTGACAATTAAAACTGCTTGCTGTGGAATGATGACTATTTCCTCAAGTCGCCCTTCGACTGATTCGGCTTATTTTTAGAGCAAGATCGAATTGGATCCATTTGTAATTGCAAGAAAAGCAATCGCAAATTGCCATCCTCTCATGAAACTGCAAGGTGTAACTAGAGGTTTGTCGGTACTTCGCTTGCTTCTATCCCTGGAAACATACGCATTTGAAAGGTATCGCTTTCAAATTCTGGGCATGTCGAATGTCAAACGGCAGGGAGCAAACTACCTGCTTGTACAGAAATTGAAATTTTCCTCGAGCGGACAGAATATACGCGATAGAGGACGGGAAACCCAGTGGAGCGGGAAAAGTAGGAGATCTGGATAGAGTATTGAAGAAAAAAGTGATTTGAAAAAGGCTCGGGAAATAACTGGAAGAATCGACGTGGTAATGAAACTAAGGCTTTTTCGAGAATGTAGGTTTTTTTTTGTTGAATCAGTTATTGAACCCGGTATAAATAATCCTANTTTTTTCGTGAGAATAAGCGAAATTCTATTTGTTTACTCACGGCTATTTAATATTTTGTCGGCGGTGTCAATCGATGTTGACTGACAGGCAATCTGTCCCGTGAGACGATCTCGATCATTGGTGGCCTATAGTATTGTATGTCAATTGTAAGTGGTCCGTGTGTGCGTCAGTCGTATGCAAGTCGTGCTTCTTGTTTCAATAATCATTCAGTCATCTTGTTTCGCTGAATTCGGTTCAGGCTATCTTTCCAGTTACAACGTTTCAAATAAATGATTAGGTGCAAGTGGAAGCCCACTTCCAGCCAAAATTTTCATCAGGTCTTCTGAGCAAAACTTTTGAAAGTCAAGGCTGATACAGTTATGACCGTGTTCATTGGTATGAACGTATTCAACACCGCCCACCGGTCGAAAATCCTGTTAGGAGATGAAGCGTCATCCATCTGAATATTACATTCTTTCTCGCCATCGCTTCCGTGACAGTATCTTTTTAATCATGCTCATTCGCATTAAGGGGCAGGTCCGCAGAACTCTTGAACATCACCTTCGAGTCCCAACTTGATAAAATATCCGTTCGGGCTATAAATGTCACCGACAAAAAAACGTATATGGTGATAAGAAGAGATGATAAGAAAAGAAACTGCGTAGAATTACCGAGCCGTTCACACTATACAGGACCTCTTTGAATTTGGTCTTTTGCTCTAAGACTCCTTTTTGTTCCTATCCTCGCCCCAATGGCGTAAATAGTCTTTCCCTTAACCCTACAACTTTTGTTCACCCGAAAGATCCATTCACTGCGAAATGCTCTGCCAAGAGCCAAGTTCGGGATCACCTTTTTTCTTCTCGCAGCATTCTATGCACATTTCTGCTTTTTGGTACTCCGCACATTGTCATTTAAAGAGTTATTTTTTCATCCCCACTGAGTGGAACAGTTCCAGGATGCTAGGGAATGTCGTGAATTTTGGGACACCCATTTGGACGTCAAATAACCACAGGATTATCTTGTTCTAAGAATCCCCTCTTAATTCCCACCGTTAATTGTTCTTCCTTTAAATGTAAAGAGTTTAATCTGCTCTCCCATGGAATGTCGGACTCGGTGACCGACGGTGGCACAGCGTAAACAACGTGTCTCGCCTCGTGGGCGCCCAATATGAAGTGCTTCTGCCATCATGATGTCATCAATGGATCGGAAAGGAAATTTCCTGCTATGATGTTCATGTTATTTCCAGGTGGTACCACCTACCAAGTCCCATTCCCTATTGAGAAGGCTGAGGCGGAGTTCCGTGCGATGAAGATGATGCGGGACATTTGCCGTCAGAAGGCCGCTCATGGAGAAACTCATTTGAAGTGAGTTAAGTTGAGATTTTGGTAGAAGTCTTGGGAAGCCTCCTACTCAAAAACTGAAGGCATCTTCTGTGTTGAAGTGATAAGAAATCGATAAAATACATTTAGGGACATCCTAGCAAATGAATTATTAGCAGCAAGTCAGAATGAAGGGCTTACTATACAGGCGAAACAGGAGCTGCACAAGACATGCGAAGCTAATAGAGCGTACGCTCACTATAGATCGTAGCATATTTGTCATTTATATTAGTGATGTTATTTGTTGTTTGTTACTCCGTATGCAATAAATTGTTCTAGAAAATTCTGTTTTTTTCTTCCCCTTGTTGCAAGCGTCTTATCGCCATACATCATCAATGCGAAGTTTTGTTGTAATGTCTTCCATTCGAATCCCTACAGATGTCGTTGGTCGGTGTTTCAACATCGACTTTAACGGAATTCGAACAGCAGTATTCTCTCCAAACAGCTGAGGTACGGAGTCTTTATTACCGTGACTTTTATTATTATAAATCTGCTTTACGCAAAATTTAGTTAATTTGAAGATTTGAATAATTGAGTCGACGTTTTGATGTGTTCAGTCTTTCAGATTGTGTTTCTAGTGTTGCTTTTTGTCGATTTTCACAACTTTTTATTTTTATCATTTATTATAATTTATTATTATTATTTTACTCTATTGCTATTATTGCTACTGAGTTATTATTGCTTATAATTACTGGATTTTTTATAACAGAAATGTTATTTATACTGAATTCCGAAAATCGCTTATGCGTAACATTTCACAAGTTTTTTAGCCTTAGAATTTCATCGCCTGCATTCGTTCTTGTCAAAAGTAAAATAGTTAAATATCAATTAGGTGACGTCAACCATTGCTCGTCTCCCGTCGTTACCAGTATCAGAACGACCGGCCAGTGTGCAAGCTGTCCAACGCATTCTGACAGATGTGGCCGAACTACTTGAGCAGATGGAGCTCGCCGTGCGAGACTTAGCAGCTGGCAGGTGCACAGATTAATCAAGCATATCAGTCATCCCGGTTTTGAGTCGTTCTTTCCATAAATTTTGAAATATTCAAGTGCCGAGAGGACCAAATACGAGCTACGAGTTAAAAGCTATCGTAATGATAAACGCTTGTTGGACAGTGAACTTGAGAAGGCTATTAAGCGTCTGCGTGAGGCCGCAGATAGAGATGAACTACTCGCTTATGATGAGGCAGTGGAAATGGATCAGCAGGTTGGTTAGGACAATGTCGCTCCAATCTTTTCAAATTAGTGATTTTATTCCAGGAAGAGCAATTGATAGCAAACACTGAGCGATTAGAAAGATCATCGAGAAAAATCCAGAACGCATATCGCATGGCTGTCGAAACTGAACAGGTCAGGATTTGCCTGCCTCATTCCATCCTCTCTTATATTTGTTTGTTTGTTTTTTCAGATTGGAACAGAAGTGCTGGGAAATTTGTCGCAACAAAGAGAAACGATTAGTAGAGCTCGAGAAAGAATGCGTGAAGCTGATGTAGAATTAGGAAGGAGCAATCGTTTGCTGAACACAATGATTCGAAGGTACGACCGTTCTGGATATTGAGTGATTGTTGTAGACTACGGAAAGTTTGAGTCATTAATGATCCCTATGGAGGGTCCAGACATAATAAGTATCACAAAATTTTCTTGGGACCCTTGTGGTGTTGCTTATTCAGCAGAAGGTTCTTTCTGCATTTTTACGAGAGTCAAATATTGTAAGTGGAGATGAGCACATATAAAACCTGTCTGTCTGTTAAAAAACTCTATCTGTTGGTTAGGAAAGCATGGTCACCAGGTCAAGAGCGCTGCTATACGGAGCAATCACCTGTATCACCTGTCGTCCCGTTGATCATCGACTTCCTCGAGCGCGCGCCAGTAACGTCTCCATTCGTCCCTGTCACGAGCCAGAGTGGTCCAGTGAATCGTTCTTGCTTCAGGGACACGAGGTGTAACATTCCTTTCGTTCAGAGCTTTCGTGAAGAAGTCTGACCATCTCGTTCCTTCCTGGAGTTCGTTTGATGTCCCGAGGGATCCAGTCAGTAACCGCCCTGGTCCAATGGTCATCACTATATCGCATAACGTGTCCGACCCACCTGATCTTCGATTTCTTGGCGTAATCAACGGCATCCCTGATTTTCGTTTGATGACGGAGTTCGGAACTCCGGTTCCCTTCTGCACTTGCGTGTATATGGAAATCCCGAGCATCGTCCTTTCCAAAGCGCGTTGAGTAACGCTGACAGCATGCTCATCTGCTTTCGTAGAGTCCAGGTCTCCGAGGCGTACGTCAAAGCAGGAAGGACAGCAGTGTCGAAAAGGTGAGCGCGAAGCCGGATGTTCTTTGTCTTCTTCACTACTCCCTCGATATTCTTAAATGCTCCCCACGCGGCGCGTTTCCGTCTGCACAGCTCTGGAGCTAGGTCGTTCATCATGTTGACTTCCCGACCTAGATACACATAGCTAGAGCATTCGGAGATATTCGTTCCGTTTAACGTGAAAGGAGCATCAGGTACCAGTCCGTTTTTCATGAACATCGTCTTCGTTAGGTTCAGCCTCAAGCCGATCTTTCCACAAGCACTATCAAACTCGGCCAGCATTCGTTCCGCCTGCTCGATGTTCGGTGTTGTAAGCACGATGTCGTCTGCAAAGCGGAGGTGATGTAGGAAGCGGCCGTCGACGATTGCGGAGCTATAGCGTTTGCAAAAGTTCGAAAACAAGTTGCTACAATGCAGTCTTACGGTTTTATGCTATGGCACTGAATCACTTGCATTGTTATTCCACTTCCTAACGCGATCGCAAAACTTTTATTCGGTTATTGTCTGGCATTTTCTTTCCAAACGATGCACCAATGGTGAGCTACATGTGGGTTCAAAATCTATTGCAATTCGGGAAGTTTTGCAGTTGAAGAAAAACCACGTATCTGGCAGAAATATTCTTGTTTTCAGAGTCATCCAGAATCGTCTCCTGCTGTTGATTATTGCCGTCCTTATGATGTTCAGTCTTCTGTTTTTGGTGTACAAATCCTTATGATTTCATGCATGTTCATGAAGGTTTTATGGAAAAACAGTGAACTGGTGCTTCATATGATGTTTTCCGGAAAGGTCTACGGAAAAGTTTGCAGGCATTCGTATGTTGTGATTTTATCGATATCATAGTGATACTGTGAAGTAGGCTTTGTATACTTTTAAGCTTATTCTTTTAGCTTGTGCATTCTTTTGCTTCCAATCATGTATATGCTTTTCGATCATATTGTACATTGCTCTCGGTTTGACCATATATTACTTGATTACAAGACCGCTGTCCCTTTTTTCACTCGATATTTTCGCAGTCACAACCCCGGGTTACATCTATGAGAAAAAAAAACCGTGGGATTGTTTATCATGTAATTATTAAATTATTGTGCTCAGAGATCGGTGAAATAAAAACTTTAACTGATCAGCGATATGAGTTCTAGCGAGTTGCGCAGTACTGAACTTTCTTCTTATTTTGCCTATCCTACACTGTAAAAAAATCTTTGTGAATGTTATGGTAATTTTGAAAATAAATCTTGCAGACTTTTTTCTTCTTTTTTGGCACACTCTTTGCAGAACAACGATGCATATCGCATAGAAATCATCGATTGTTTACATGTCATTTGCTCTAAATATGGACAGGATCTTTTTAGATGTACAATTATCGGAAACCCCCTCCGGAATTACCACAAATCGAATTTGTTGTGATACAATATCCGGGAGTTGTTAGAAATCTTGATCGTGCTCTAGAAACCTTGGGTGGTTTGGCAAAAATATCACAGGTATCATATTACATTATCTGAGATCACTCTGAAAATGAAAATAAATCACTTCAAATAACACTCTAGTCCAGGGGCTGGTTTATGATTTTTTTCACCACGTTTTAAGGCACTCATGTTTAAGGCAAGCACGCTTTGACAGCGTAAGCGCGACATGTCAGGATAACGTGTTGGAAATGATGTTTCTAATTGATGTTTTCGTCTTTGAGTAGGCCTTTCCGTTAACCAATGGAAACTGAGGGCCATTCCAGATCTTGCTTTTATAAGTTATAGGTGATCATACAGATCATTTACTTCTAAGAATACCAAATAAAACGAGAATTCATCGGTAAATCCAAGTGGATTATTTGTCGGTTCACCTTGAATAATGTATCGAGTTCGAATAAAAACTCCTCAAAATGTTGTTTTCCAGAATCACTTTGCCGGTCAGGCTCTGGAGTTACGCCATACCCCAGAAAATCCTTACACAAGTGCCTCAGTGTCTGAGAAGAAACTTGATTCTACGGTTAGTAAGCATAGATTAACTGGCTGTAAAGCCCGTAAAAACCTTGCTGCATTTTTAAGGTTACTTCCGGGACGTTGCGCCTTGTAATGGAATTTCGACGGAAAAAGAAAAAGCCGGAAGTAATAGAAACCAATTGTTTAGGCTTAGTAAGTATCTCTTTTTCCATAGTTCTTCACATTTGTCAAGGCTTACTTGATTAGGAGTCATCTTAAAAATTGGGAGGTCGATCGTCAGAAGTCATTTTTGCTTCAGAATTCAAAACAAATATGAGCTTGACCGTGGGAATGTATTTAAGATGCCCCAGAGAGCTTGATTTTGGGATATACTAAAATACCCCTAAATTTTTTCGTATTCCGGCTTGTTATCTAATCCAGCCTTCAAAACTTTTACTGGAAAATGACAGTAATTATAGGTAAACATTTTGTACACCTTCGATACAATGTGTGACTTTCAATATCTTCCATTGAAAAAGCGTCAGGAAGGTGAAGGATTTGATGACCTCATACCACGACTTATTCCAAGAGACCTTCCAAGTGCACTCTGCTGGTATGTTTCTGTAGCCTCGTTGGAACAAAGGACATGGTTATCCTTCACCAACCATTAGTTACTCACGAGGAATGAATCATTGTATGAATTGGAAATAATAAAATCAACTACTGTGTATGCGAATCCATTTCCTTAAAGTGTTTCCTCAAAAATGACCACCCTTATCAGCATCGGTATCGCTTGCTTTACCATAACTTTAAGGTGGGACCGCCCCGATGAGTATCCTGGCTATACACCTTTATTTTTGCCGCCGTATCAATTCAGTCGCTACAATACCCCGTCCACAAAGATGTTGTGCCGTGAATCTGACTTCACAATGGACAAAATCCGGAAGAGAACAGGACATGGTCAAAGTAAGCAGAAACCTTTTTTCGGTTGTGCAAATGCGGAACGGCCTATAAATCTGGATAAATGCATTTCATCGAAGATCTGCGTCTGGAACGAAAGGCGTTGTCAGTGACCGTGCAGGCTAACGATCCATTCCCTACTGCCCCGTCTGAGGAAGCTGTTCTCGATGCAGATTTCAGGTACGCTCTCTTTCCGATCGTTAAAAATAGAGATGTTTTCTCTTTTGAATACGACTATAGTTTTCTGACATGTGTGCCGAGGAAAAAGGTGATATGAATAGAAGGATTTGTGTATCACCAATGGAAACAGATGAAAATATGTCTCGGCCCATATTCATAGAAAAGCAACCGCTAGACTAAGTAATTGAAATCGTTACAAATCAAATCGGTTCCTAGTCAAAGTGTTTTAGGTGTAAAAATGAAGAGCCGCATAGAATGTTGGCTGCACTGTTTCGAGAGCGTCCCATGTGGACTAGAAATGCTATCGCTTACAAAACAGGTCTGGAGGATAACCTGCTCAAGTAGGTTTAACCTTTAACCTCAACTACTCTCGACTACATTTGAGCAGATAGCAGGGAATGTATCTCACCGCTGGATTTGTTAACAAGAAATTTGAGTTTGTAGATTGTCTAATTATGTTTCTAGTCATCCATTTCGTTGGTCCCAGTTCTTTTAGTGTTTAATCGGGGGTTATTCCTCTTCTCATCCTCTTGCATAGCGTTTCTCTTCTTGCCGTTTTAAGAGACGCAACGACTCTTCAGCTTAAAAGTCGAAATCGTTGTGGCAACCTTATTTGAAGGCCCATTTTCACTCGTAATTCATAAGTCTTAGCACATAAAGGTTTCATTTGCCTTTGGTGATGAGAGTCTGACTACCAGTCAGATATGACTAAATTCTGGAGTCCGAAATGTTAAAAAGGGGCTTTTTCCTACTCTCCCCAGACTCCTCTTGGAAAAGGAGTCAACAAGCTCATATCATAGGAAGTATTTTAAGAGTTCATTGTTACTATTATTTCAAGCATGTACTTCAGGACTTTACTGCAGAAGTATGCATTTTATATCCAGTCTGGTCCATGGGGAAGACTTTGGTGCAGGTTTGGATACGATCCACGTACTGATCCAGAGTCGATGCTGTATCAAACCCTGATGGTTTCGTTCCGGTACCTCTTTCACACTTTTGGAATACGAGATGAGATTCTGTGATATGTTTAAAGGAGAATGGCGTATGGTTGAAGGGTTGGGACAAGCTTCTGTGAAGCAAGCATGTAATTTCATTAAGTTTTATAAATACCCAAATTAATCGTGATTCTAGACAACATACAAGAATACCTGAACGACAACGGCTCAAGGTGTCGCTAGACAGAAGCGTTCCATCTGAGGCTAGCAGCATGCCAGTCCATTTCACCTACCAACCAGGTACCCGTGCTCGAAGTTGTTAGATTGTTGTCAGCGCTTTTTGTGTTGTTAAATGCTTGCCAGGAGACTAAACAACTAAACATCCTCTGTTCAGGTCGTCTTCCGAGAGTACGACAAATGTGGTACAGTCTTTGCGATATCAAACTGCCGTTTGCTGAGGCGCTACTCAAGCAAGATCATAGTAAATCATCCGAACCAGAAGCGTATGGTTGGATACATGCAGTGGGTTTTTTCACTAAAGTTGAATTCTCAGCTCAAAAAGTAGTTGAACCAAATCATTTTGACCATAAGTTTCCATATCTGTAGCATCCCTCTCAGGGAGGATCAAGTCCGAAATGTTTTGCGGTCAAAAGCCCTCTCATTTCATCTTCAGTTAATATTTGGTTGACAAATAAGTAACTGCGTATATTTTGTAAGAATATGCTCCCCTTTTTTCTTTTCTCAAAAAAAAAACCAGTGGTTTCGTTAAAGATAAATGTTTGAACCACTTAGAGAACTACGCAGTTACGCAGTTGCCGACTCGATAAAATGACTTGGTAAAGTCACTCACTGCCGATTTCGGGGGACCATAAATTATTTGGCAGTCTTCAAGAAATGAATAATCATTCTTTGTAATCCTGGGTCCTTTATATGCAGGCTAACTGAAAACCAAATCCCATATTCAGTTTATGGTGATCTCGTTTCATTTGTTCCCTATTGTCAGTTGACGAATCGGAGGTGGTGTAGTGGTAAGTGGCGCAGTATCACACAGGCGTGGTCACGGATTCGAATCCCGGATGGATATTCGCCTGGGCCATATAAGCCTCCGGTTAAGCCATTTGGTATCAGACTTGTATCAGACTCGTCTGGGAATCGTAGATCGGATGGCAACGCAAGTCATTGTATAGGCCCTATGCGCTTTCAAAACGCCACTACGATTTTGAATGAAAGTCGAATGCGAGGCACATCCCTTAGACGGGATTGTTTGACGCCAGAAGACTATCCTTTGCTACTGGATGGCATTACTGTCTTACAAACCAAGTCTTTCAAAATCATTTTTTAAATTCAGTTTTTTGAGTCGCCTGTGTTTACTCAAACATTTTTTTTCAAAATAATTCTTTGTTTTACTTCAAGGATCTACTGGAAGAATTACGTGAACTGATCAAGGAAGATGTTCGGAAAACAAGCGAAGACATGGATGCTGATGAGGATATGGAGCCTACTGATGATTTCTGAATTGAACACTGCTGATGACTGACTTGCCTTTTGATTATAACTTTGAATTTGTATATCTCAAAATCACGGCTGCAAAACTGTATTTTAATGGTTGCACAGCTGACCCGAAATTTGCCGCTCTAATGATCTCAATGAAATTGATCAACTTTATTTTTTTATGTTGTTTTTTTCATTGAACAACTAAATTTTGACTTTCGACGTGTTGACGTGCCCTTTCATTATATTTTTCTTCTTGATAAATAATTTTTCCTGATCTCTTTGTTTGCCAATTGTTCCCAGATGTGTTGTATCACCCTTCTTCGGGAGGCATTAGTAAAATAGTGTCAGGTAACGCTATTTCCACAAGCATAGTTCGAATATCACATTTAGGACCGATACCAGCCCAGGCTTAACCAGCCCCTCATCAGACAACACTTCTCGTGCTAATGTTCTCCACTGAGCGTGATGGCTGCTTGATGATTAGAAAGAAGTCAGGTTTGGAGTGAACCATCAGCGATACCGTTGTCAATCGCGGTCGATACCGTCGCCGACTCTGAACGCTCTGAACGCACGCGGACGGCTGTAATTTTCAAAAAACAGGTTCGATGACATACTCATTTATATCTCACCGCAAGAAACGCGGAGTGGTATTTTGCGAATTGCGTCAATTTGAAAGTATGCCAATGTTGAGCTATTTTTCGAGCTACGTAATGCTACTATGTAGAAATGAGTAGTCACGTAAACAAAGTTGCTCTGGCCTTCTAAAGTTTGGGCCAGTGCTGTCAAATCCAACATTTCACTTACTCGTTGAATTCTTATTCTTCAAAAAAGATTAGCCTTGGCCAGTGCATTCGTTCATGGATTGCCCTCAACAACCACCGAAGAAATGTAAAGTTGCCAAGTATCCGTACAATTAGTTACTATCCTCGATGATATTTGAATATCCGCACGTCCTAGAGAAGACTATCTCGACGCTGAACTCCCACATCCTATTTTCATTGAATTTTCGGTGAAAATGTAGTTGAGGAGGGGGCACCCATTGGGAGGCTAGTATATCAAGAAATGAACTCAATGAAACGTGATATGTCGTGTTATATCACGGACATGCCAGTTTTTAAATAAAAGCTCCCGTAGGGAAGGGCACCACGGTGGGCGAGCTTTCTTTCTTTTTTTGCAGGAGGTAATCATCCCAGCCACACAGGTGCTCCTGCCCTACCTAGGCTTATTTGGGAAACTAAATTTTCTTAGCTGAAACCGCATAAATTAGCTGAGGTGGTCGGTTCCCATCCCCTCATCCTTTACGCGTCCGATACATTGCTAATATAACAAGGACTAACAGTTAGACTGAGTTCATTTCTTGATATACTAACCTTCGAATGGTGCCCCCCCCCCCTACATTTTCACCCAATTTCCCTAGCCTAATTAGCGAAATCTGCTTGAAATTCGTAGAAACTGATTCAGTGTTGAAAGAGAGCCTGAAGAGACTCTCAGGCTGGTTAAAATCCGAACATCTGTTTACCCTCCCTTTTATCAAGCTCAACTGATACGACACTGCTTAAAACCTGTTTCGTCAATACAGCTCCAAGCAGCCATCTACCTTCAATAATTAGAGAGAACATTCATTTGAAATTTTCACACCACGGGTTGACAGGAGTTTCAGAGATACAACATCCACAGGTAGGCTTAAGTAAAACAAGGGAGCCTACAGCCTCCTAAAAAAAGAAAGGTAAAATAATAGTTACGAATTGCATAAAAGGAATATTATAGAAATTAGCAACAGCTGGAAAGAATCGCACAGTTTCTGATGAACACAAATCATGAGAACAATCGCATGTGATATGTTCATCTATTATAAAGGATAAAACGAGAAGAGCAGAAGAAAAAGCCAACGAGTGTCTTAAGCAGTAGACTACAACAGATGTCAGCGAATGGCTTGTATTATTCTAAAAAGATAACTGATGGAAGAAATCAGAGTAAAAACTAAGTCAAACACGTACAGACATACACAACACACATATAATACGAAACAGATCAATACAATGTTTGTTTCCAGCCAAACTTGTCTTGACATTTAAATAAAGGGATAAGCTGCAGAAGTCTGCGGGACAGATACAATAAGAAATGCATTCAATAGTTATGTAATATGATCTGTATGCGCTACGCTTGAATAGTTCACACCCCTGCTTTTGCTCGACAATTGTTGCTCATCAAGACCAGTGCTCGCTCCCACCCCTGATACCAGGTTCCCACTGACCGTGCGTTGAGGATTCGAATGCTGAGTGTACTGTTGATACTGAGGATGGAAGTTGTGGATAGCATCCTGCATAATGTCTTTTGGATTCATCGTCTCCCTTAGCGACGAACTAATCGACTGCAAAGTCACCGTATGCCCATCATTCGGGTGATTAACAGAGTGAACGTCTGAGTAAGCAGAAACACCAAATGCAAACTTCAGTGCAATGGCAGCAAAAAACATCTCAATGCAGATGAGGAAGTTCTGATAACCAGCTGCGACGGTCCCCTTTCCTATGACCACATGACCGCTGCTGTCCACTACAGGATCAATAGCTGATGTAGCACCCAAAATTGCAATCAGCAGTCCTTGCCAGAACGACAAAAAGATAACGCTTTTCACGGTAAGAAATTTCAGAACTGGGCTATATGGGCTGAGTAGTTCACGTGTGGCCGTATAAAAAAGAAACAGACCGTAGAGAGCAAGAGATATAGAAACGTTGTACACAAGAGTGATGTATAGATACCCTTGCTCCGCGCTCCAATTACCATCCTCATATTTCCCCATCCCAGTAAGAAACAAAGTTAGTATTGCCATAATAGGTTTGATAAAACAAAATTGCAAGGTTGCCTGTTTGCAGAAACGCAGAAATTCGATTGTGTACTGCTTACCAGCAAGACAACAAGTGCATGTATGGTAACCGATTGGTTTGATTGGTTTGCCACGGATTTCTGCCATGATATTGCTTTCGCCACCGAGATATTCATAACACAGTGACAAGAACGAGTAAATCACGAATGCTTCGTAGCAATCTCGAATAGAATTGAAGTAAATGTACACGTTGTCGGAGAAGAATATAAGACTCAGCCACGAATCAAATGCGTATATTGGAACGATGAATAAAATACGCACGATCCATCTTTGCTCCGTAGGACAGGAATACCAGCGTAGATGTTGATAAATATGATGGCTGGTAATAAAAACGGCTGCCCAAGTGAAAACACCAGCAATACCTTTAGAAGAAGCCGAGTGGATGAAAGTACTACCCTGAGCGACGTTTTCGGCCATCTTCGTTAACGCTTCTCAAACTTGGGTAGAACTTGAACTTGAAATTGATTAATTCCAAGCTTCTTTGCCTTGCCGACTCTTCTGACGTTTTGTACGCAACGCAGAATATGTCAGGGTGCCGTACCATGTTTTTAATTTCAATCCGTCTTAGCATTCCTTTTTGCTTGTTTATCGCCATGTTGTCCAGTTTGCAAACGAAAAAGTTATTTCAAGTTTGGTTCACTTATCAAATAGAGTTCCTTTGTCTGTTCCTACTTTGATCTGTTTTTCTCTAGGTGCCCTTCCCAATGTTCCTCTATATTTAGTATATTTAGGAGCTTAACATTACTCTTTTTTACTATAGGAAAGGCTTATCAGTTCATATTCAAGTTAACCGCTCGCTCTGCTTTCCTTCGAGTAAATCCTTCCTGATTTTCATCATTTAACCCATTTGAAATCTATTAAAGAAACTGACTTCTATGAAAGCCTAGCTGCCCTCTCGCCCTTATTGACCCGAAGCAGAAACTCCTGCTTAGAGCAGTTTACAGTGCGGAAATGAGGACGAGAAAGTGCTTCTTAAGGATTATTACTGATATCATTTCCCATCGTTTAGGATTTTGCCTATGCCGTGAGGAATTCCAGAATACGTAATCATGGCTATCTATGATCAATGGTGGTTTCGTGCTTTTGCTGCAGTTATCATGTTTTTCGGGTGTCAGCTATGCTTCATGATCTCCAGACTGCAAAATTTAGACGAAGAAAAAGTCAACTTACAGGCTGAGGTGTGTTTATTTCAAATCATTTCGTAAACTCGTACAAAATAAAAGCCCTTCTTTCTTTAGGTTCAAATGTTGGAACGGAAACGCGATTCATTGCTAATGGATATAGGCACCAAAGAGCGTGAAATATTACGACTGGATAAGAAAGAAGAGCAGTTGGAAGTTTTGTGAGTATGTTTTTTATAAAAAGACTTTCGTCATCAGTCTTGGTTCCTGTTTTTGCTAATTCATCAGAGCAAATACTCGACGGTTATAGGCATTTAGAAGGTTTTATTCTGTGCATCTCCGTGTTTTCCTCAAGCTCCTTGGAAACTTCGATTTTAGAGCGGCATTGTTCGAACAGTTCGACGACTCTTTTTGTTGCAGGATACGCGATCGATTGAGCCTTGTTCCCATAAGGCGGAAGAATGATCCGATGATATATTTCATTACACCAACCAGTTTCCGCCCTGCACAAAAAGCAGATCTGACACGGTTATCCTATGCTCTTTCACATGTTCCCAATCTCTACTGGATTGTGGTGGAGGATTCTGATACAATTTCGGAAAGCGTATATGAAGTGATTAAGAGGTAAGAAGAGTTTTTTGCATAGCGGTTTTTGTTTCCATTTCTTGTAAATGGAATCTTGTTACAATGAGAAGCGGTGGCTAATTAGACATATCAGTAGGTGAATACTATCTGTGCAGAGCCTACAGTTGAAGCAACACTGCCCGTTGTCCCATACATCTGTGGATCTCTTGCAAAGATTTTATTTGCTCGGTGCTATCAAGATTTTTTATACCTTCTTCATTAGACCAGGAGACTTCTGAATATTTGTCATTTTGCCATAATCCTATATTAGGAGAGATTAATGCAGTGGTAAAAGGCACCTCCTAAATCAAAATGCATCTTTCATTCCGTCCCATCGTCCCATTTCTGTACCTGGATCCGTAGTTTTCCAAAATATGATTTGTGTTCAGTTAGCCAGTATCAAACAGCTTATAAAACCATCTCCATTTAAAAATGTGGTAATCGTCTCTGCGTAAATCTTGAGTTGTTATCTATTTGATCTACTTATCAAAGTGCTATAGTTGGGCTTCGGACTATCTACTTACTGGTTTCAGATCTCGCTTGCCTCATACTCATCTGAGTATAAAGACCCCTGATGATAAGAAGATGAAATACACGGATCCCAGTTGGTATTTGCCACGTGGTGTTCTGCAGCGAAACGCTGCTCTAGCATGGATCAGGTAAGGCTCGGATGCTCAGTAGAAATGATTTCTTTTTCAAACGTTGATCACGTGGTGTTTCTCATTACTTCAAGCTTCCGGAGTTGTGCATTTTTCATCGCTTTTTTTGTTAGTTTGGTTTTCATTTTCTTCCGCCACAACGCACCTTTCCCTTTTTTTCATTTTCGACCAACTTACCTATTAAACCACAAATTTGATTAATTTCAAGAACACAAATGTCGGATGTCAAGACTGGAGCTGTTTATTTCGGTGACGACGACAACACATACGATTTACGATTGTTTGATGAAATCAGATCGATCGATGTAGCAGGGATTTGGCCCGTAGGCATAGTAGGCGGCCTTATTGTAGAAAGACCGCTTCTAGCAGAAAACGGTTCGTGGTGCTCTTTTCCATTTCTTTAATTTGTATAGAATCATAGTCGACTACTATTTTTCAGGCACGGTTATTGGTTTTAACGCTGTCTGGAAACCTGATCGCCAATTTCCCATTGATATGGCAGCATTCGCCGTCAACATTACCATGATTACTTCCCACCCTGACGCTGGCTTCTCTTATGATGTACAGAGAGGATATCAAGTGAGTAGGTGGTGTGGTTCTTGAAAACATTTTGTTCGGGTAAATGGAGAGCAATTCAAGATTCGGGAAGCTTCTCAAACAACGCGTACTCGATAGCTTAACTCTTGAAGCATCATGTAATCAGTTTCTACTTTAGCTACTCGACCTCTGCCTTTTGACATTAGTGTGCTCCTGGAACGCTTTATATTTATGACCAATTAGACTACACCTTATTTGACTACGAATCTCATTTGATTTTTCACAGTTTTTGATTCTTCGTTGAGTTTTTATGAGAGGAGCTGTGCTCCGACATTGAACAACTCTGACGGAGTTCTTTTGAGAAGCATTTTATAAGTACCATAGATGTCATTACGGTAACTGCTCGACTGAAAATTTCATTACTTTTGATCATCAATCTCGATTTTTCTTCAGGAATCGCATTTTCTCACTGGATTGGGATTGACTCGAGGCGATCTCGAACCTAAAGCAGAACTATGCTCTAAAGTCTATGTGTGGCACACTAGAACCGAAAAAGGCAAATTTTCAAAAGAAGATTGGAAGAGGATAGCAGAAATGGATAGGGAATTGTTTGATGACATTGAAGCTCATGCCCTTGGGCTTTAAAATCAACTTCGCAAGAAGAAGCGAATCTACTAGGATGATGCTGCTTCTTCGAAGGCAGCGTTCGAAATTGAAGGAGAACGTTCTGGATCGTATCCAAATCATGAAAGTCTTTCAATGTGTTCGGTTATTTCCGAACGGGATATGGCGTCATAATAGGTGCTCACTGCTATGTACTGCATTTTCACTTCAAAACGGGCCAAAATAATGAACTCATAGAAGCTTTTTTTTCAAAAGCCGCATTGACAGTTAATATTTATGAGAATCCATGCTTTTCGATATGGCTGCGTTTCTGCCAGTGCGTTGCGTTCTCCCATTTGCCTCATGTAATGATTAATAACCGTTGAGCTGTCCAGCAGGCTTCTTTGAAAGTGCGATATTGTATATTCGGATTGGAGTATTTTTACGAACACGGGTTACAAAACTTACCATTAGATTGATAACCGTCACTAACATGCCTCTAGGACTCACTCAGCTGTGCAAAAGGTGCTATACTTGGCTCTTATACAAGCTCGCCATATTTGTTTTAATTGTTGTTTTCATCATTGCTCGTTTGTGCTTGTTTTCATGTAAGAATGGTGAATGCGGCGTTTAATTAAGATAGGCATAATGTGACGTTCTGTGTAGGAGAAGGTGAAATCGAGTTCAAAGCTGTGCATTACATACGTTTTTGGTCTCATTTGGCATAGTGGCAGTTACGAAACGTCATATAGAAAGAGTTGTATCAGTCTTTCGCTATTTATTAGATCACGTTGCTCGAATTTAGTTTTTCTCGCAATAAATGTTATGAGTGTGGTCTAGAGAGTAATATCACAGGGTGTGATCCCTGAAAATACTGAACATTTGTGTTGAGATTGATTTTTCCTAAAGAAGCCTCCGAATGTATGAGGCAAAAACGTATCTGAAGAGTGCGTGACCATGGCCAGGGGTGGTTAATGAAAAGCAACATCATTTGGCATTCAAGCACTTATCAGCTGTGTCAGCACGCTCTACAGGGTCCTCTCCCCATGAATATATCGACAAGGAGATTGAGCCAGGGAACCGTTTTGTATCCTATTTTTTTCAGAAGTCAACATGGGAGAACGCAAAGGTCAGAATTTCTATTATCCTCCGGATTTCGACTACAAGAAACATAAAAGTTTGAACAAATACCATGGCACTCATGCATTACGGGAGAGAGCAAAGAAGATCTCTCAAGGTATTCTCGTCATTAGGTTTGTTCTATTTGGAAGATTGGTTTTGTTTAGATAGAGTACTGTAGCAATACTTTCAGTATTACCCTAATTTTTCCTCCGAGAATTGCAGATTTGAAATGCCATTCAATATTTGGTGCCTCGGATGTAATAATCACGTTGGAATGGGAGTACGATATAATGCTGAAAAGAAAAAGATTGGAATGTACTACACTACGCCTTTATACGAGTTTCGGATGAAATGCCATTTGTGTGACAACTACTTTGTGATACGTACGGATCCCAAGGTGGGCTAACAAGTTCATGTTTCAAATTTTTCACGACTCGATTGGTAATCGTAGCGAACCATCTGCTACTAGGCCCGCCCCGATTTGAAGGACTATTTTTAAAATTTCAATCAAGTACTCCGTTATTATTGAATTCAACTACTTAGTTGTGTGCACGCATGCGTCTCCCTCCTGAATAGGTCGCCATTCCAGGTAGTGGCCGCCGTTGCTGACTGCTAAAGGTGTATGATTTTTAATCATAAAAGGCATGGTGAACAAGCAGTCTCCCTCCCAAATGGCTCGCATGATCAATGCTTTTTGAACTCTTTAGCCCCCCCCCCCCCCCCCCCCCCCCCCCCCCCCCCCCCCCNCCCCTCCATCCCCCACCGTTCTGGGGTGACATTACTTCATTACTTCAGGCCTCACCTCCTTTTTTAGAACAAATGATACGAAATATCGGTTCGTATCCCGACACTGATTACCTATTCAGAACTTCGATTACGAGCTGGTAGAAGGATGCACTCGACAAGAGAAACGGTTCGAACCATCAGAAGTCGATCAAGTGGACACATCCGACAGTGCTTTCAGCCAAAAGTTGGCAGCAGATGCGATGTTCAAAACAGAACATCTCGAAGATGTAGGTTGTTCTATTTGTGAGGTGCCGCCGTTCCTGTAGAGCTGGTTTTGTTACTCTTCGAGATATATCAGCAGCAATATTGCTGATGAGAACTAGCTCCATGCTATTTTTATTCAGGACAAAGGCAAAGCAACCAACGATGAAATTCGTATGGAAAAGATTGAGTGGGTTCAGGAAAGACTACGCGATGACTTTGCAGCTAATCAAGCCCTTCGAGCGCAGTTCAGGGTAAGGTTGAAGGACAACTCTTTTGTGATCTTTTATCTAATTTGAAGTTGCTATTCAAGAGAGAAAAAAAGGAGTTGAACGAGAAGAGAGCCAGAGATGCAGATCTTCGTGCACGTTGTTCCCTTGAAATACCGTTGGTTCCAGAGGATCCGAATGATAAGAAGGTGGCAGGGATGATGCTGCGCTATCGAGTTGTCAGTTGTAAGTGGTATTAGCGAACTCCTCTCACATATTTTTTCTTTTTTTTTGCTTTGAGTATAAGCCCTTATTATATACTTTTTTTTTGGAAATTGCTATACTTCCATGGCAGCACGAACTTATTGCCTTTCAGCTCTCGATGAAGAACAAGAACGACGTAATGAAGCTGCCGGTCGACGGATTTTTTCATCAACATCCCACCCTACTACATCAAGCAGCGACCAATCGAATCTTCCGTCAGCAAAACGTCTGAAGGATTCGATTAGGCGAAACCGTGATCGTCAAATCAACGATAAGGTAATCTATAAAACCGGCCCTATGATAAAAGGATGAAGTTTGGCGTTAATCAATCCCGTCTGAGGGATGCGCCACCGCACTCGAGTTCCATTCAGAATCGTAGTGGCATAATGAGTGTGCATAATGGCCTATCCAAAGACTTGTATGACCACCACCTGTACGAGTCAGTCAGTGCTTTTATCCTCCCGTACAGGTATGGTGTCACTTAACCGACCCAGGAGGGATGGATGGCTGGGTTGGCTTGGCAGATATCGATCCGGGAGTCGAATCCGTGACCATGCATGTGTGAAGTGCTCCACTTGTCACTACATCACCACTTTTGAGATGTATGGCAATATTATGCATGAAGGTATGAGGGGTACTAGAGGGTGTAGTGGTACACGGGCGTAGTCCTGGATCGATACTCCCCGAGGCCAATAAAACCTTTCATTTCTCCGAAATAGGTTAGTGGTACCTTTTGTACTCCTACGCAAAACTACCGAGGATAAAATCACTGTGGGGCAAAGTCGTATAGGCCACATACACCTTCAAAACGTCTTTACAATTCTGAATGGAAGTCGAATGCAGGGCGCATCTTAAAAACGAAATCGATTAACGCCAAAGATTTTCCTTCTTATCCTTTGTTATGTATAAAACATATAACAGTTCGCCTTCAAATCCGGCTTCAGGAAAGAGGGCTTTAATATCCTAATATAATTTCCATTATCAAAATTGTGAAGCATTATGTGGAACGGAGGTGACTAGGCGAATTGTTCATCGTCGGTGGAGGAACGTGATGACGAAAACGAGCCATAAAATCTGCTCGACTTTTGATGTTCGCATTCATTTCTTTCATTACACTGTTTCTGGTGAATTCGGTGAATATTCTGGCCGAATAACCTTTATGTCGCACGATTTGATGAATAGACTCAATCCAGAGTGAATAATCGGCATTGCAACTGCTGGCATTCTTTCTTTTCAGTTTGATTTCGCTCCGACTCCGAAGAAATCTCCGTTATCTCTCGGTATCATGCGAAAAACCGTAAAAAGAGAAGCAGAAGAGGAAGAAAAAGTCAGTGAGAGCACAACCGTTCTAAATAGCAATACGGCTGATGTTAAAGAAGAAAATGACGAAAAGAAAGTGACTGCAACAAATGGACTTGTCGCCGATTATGATTCTTCGGGATCGGATTAGATTTGTATATAAAATTCTCGAAATTACGATAAAAGTAAGAATATTTTTGTAAAAAAACTTTTTAAATCTACACATAGCAATGCTTCGATGTGAATGATAAGCAGTCCTTGATGGGAGGCAGAAAGTATTTCGAGATAGCATTTACTTTATGTTAACAACTTAATCAAGCAGGGTACCTGTAGTGGAATGGATAAAGATCGGTGCCCGCAAAGTCCAAATTCGAGTTCAGTCCAAGGACGAAGTTTTGCCTATAACTCGTCAGTCTGGCTTTCGGATCGCGTACTGCGGCGAAGTAACAGTAGTTAGCAAAACATCTTAACAAACAACAAACATAAACAGGAAGCCAAAACTTGATGTGCTTTCAAGATGTTAGGAGGTTCGACCAGGGAAATCTAATGTAAGAGTCTCCCTCCACCATGGAGACTTTGCCCATTGAATTGTCCGCTCTTTCTGTCTCTGCCTCTCTGTCTGAGAGTGAGGGAGAAAAGGTCACGTGAGAGTCAGGGTGGCGACCTC